AATTGACCTTTCTCAGAGTTCAAAAAAGTGTAGGAGCAACACAAATTGGAAACTGTCACTTCCATTACAATTATCAATGTGAAAGTTCACTCTAAAACCAAAAATCCAATCGTAATTCCAATTCTAAACCTTTATTAAATCAAACTAAAGACTAACACACTATAAAAAATTTCAGTATCAATTTTCACACAACCCGATAGGAAAATTTATCTAATCATACTTTTAATCTCCGGTATATAGGAAAAGGTCCTACAAGTGGCTGCTTGCAACTCAGTAATGATTTTTTGAACTTATGTGAAACAATATTACAATGTGAACCAAAATTCATATATCAAAGATTGGATAAACTGATTGTTGATGTTGATCTAATTAAAATGCGAAGAGGATGTCATCAAAAGTATTTGCCAGCCTTCAAAACAACACAACAGATTTCATCTAATGGTCTCATAACATAACTCCTGAACTAACCAAAATAAGGTGGCAATACATAGTAATCAAAATGGAACGTAAAGATAGAACGGTAAAACAAAATAGTTCACAGAACTGACAGAAGAAGATACTGAAATGGACAAATTTTGAGAAACCATCTATTCAAACTGAATGGTAGGGACTTAAACCGAAAATTCATTTACAATTAATCTAATGAATGAACAACCCAACCAATCAATTTGGATGCTGGAAAAATACTACTTCATTGAGTTTGCCGATTAGGTAAACTGAATAAAAGACGAGTTAAAAGAAAATCATCTTGTCGAAAGATTGAACACGTACTCCATGAACCAAAGAACAATCATAACTAAAATGTTATTAAGAAGTTTTAGAATATCGACGATATTAGAGGTACTTCTCCTCACAAGACGGATAATCAGTTATCATCTATTCCTAAATGTACCAACTTCAAAATTAACAAAGGCACAGCACTGCGGTTATTCTGCTTCACATATTCCAATATGAGAAACACTCTTATCTTGGGCAAAATTCAGCCATAATACTCCATACTGTGTACACACTAATGCAATAAGTCATTGCAAGACAGACGACTGACCGAGGTTCACAAATTAGAACAGTGAAAGCTTGAAAACTGGATACAAAATCAGAACACCTGTGAGTGTGCGCGCGCGCGCCCAACGTGCTCCACCATTGTATACATCAATTGAATAACTTAATAATAGGTAGAAAATAAAAGGAACAAAAAAGTACCTGCACCACACCAGAAGGAATTTGCAGAAGTTTCTCCACAGGCTCTCCCCGCAGGCAATCCATCCACTCTTTATCAACTGCTTCCCACAGTCTATCCTGTCACAGATCATCAAATATTTAGCTCATTCGCCTCAAATTTCTGAGCAACACGAGTTGTTAATTCTTTCACTGCATAAGTGAGGTCAATTCAATTGCCTTGAAGAAATTGACGACATGGGCATCTAAGAAAAACCGGTAAGGCTCGAGGAAGCTTGTTATGGCATGGATCCACACTAGGGTCTCCGACGCTGTCCTGCACGAGTACTTGCGCGTACCGCCGCCGTCAGCCATGCCGGAGTGTCGTTACCCGCTGCCCGCCGGGGACTCGCGAAACACAATTATGCTCTTATTTACTGTTAGTACACTACACTTAAGAAAATTATATTCAAAATCAAGTAATAATAACAACAAAAATTGTTTTAGTTTTTAAACTAGTACAACACCCGTATATTACACGGGTGCTTGTTAAAAAAATATTCTTAAATTTTAAAATTAATAAAAAAAACTATATATTTAGTTTGCTTTTTTACAAAAAAAAAAATATATTACTATATATTTTAGAATGATATGTGTTACTTATGACTTACATGTGTTATATCATATAACTACTTGAAATATAAATATATTAGTTGATAAATAATTATTTTTTTAATTAATATTAAATATTATTTTATTATTGTTATAATGATAAATATAAATTATTTTTTTTATACATACAATATGAATGTTAAATCGAAGTTTATCAAAAGAAGATTAATTTGATATATTACATATGTAAAACTGATAAAAAATACAAAAGTTATTAACTTTTAAAACATATATACAATTCAATAGTTATAATAAAGAATGATATTAAAATGCAATTAATACATGTAACATGACCATAAATAATCAACATATTTATGGTAATCCGAATCTAATTATTTTTGGTTTGGAATTAAATTAAAATTTACCCAAGCCTAATAACAAAGCATGTAATTTTGCACATAGGATTCCGTAGTACCAGAAGCAGCCACGTAGACTCAGCGCGTTCTGGATTAATATATAGGGGAATATTTTATAAAAAAAGAATATATTATTATTTATATTTAAACAACCTTAAATTTTATTACCAATATGGAATTTAAAAAAAAAATAATTAATGTTAATAGTTAATAACTTTATACTAATAATTAATAACTTAATACTAAAAACTAATGAGTAATAACTTAGTAAATAATCCAAGTATCCAACCGGTCAGTCCTCCTAAACACGATTTTTTTTACCTGAAAATAAAAAAAAAATAAAGTGCTAGAACAAAAAATACACAAACAAATGAGAGTGGAAAAAAATCAAAACCACGTATTTAGAGAATACGTTTTTCATTGCAAAACGTATTCTCAAAATACGTTTTCCATTGTAAAAAAAATTGTAAAACGTATTATGAGAATACGTTTTACAATTAAATTTGTAAAGAAAACGTATACTCTAAATACGTGGTTTTCATTTTGTTCCACAACTTTTTTTTTGTTTTTTTTTTATTCACTTGTACTTTTATTATTTTTAATATATAAATCTATACTTATATTAAAAGCCATACCATTTACTAAAAATAGTAGCAAGAAAAGTCAACTCACATTTAATGCATACTTTGTTTAGAAATTTTTTACTATATGTATTAATTGCTTGCATATATACATTTCCTATTCAAATATGATCAAAAAGATTCTTTCCTTAAATAATTTTATTAACTTCTGCAATGATTTTACTGATATATATTATAATTCATATTTGTCGATAATATTTTTTAATTTTTATTTGAGCATATAAAACAAATATTTTTTTAAAATTAATATTTTATTTATCAATTAAGATAATGATCGAGCAATTTATATATTTATTGATAAAAGAAATAATAACTGGACAAAAAACAACAAAAAAGGAGGATAGTGGACCAACATAAAAAACACGTATTCCGTGAATACGTTTCTGTATATTTTAATCAAAAAACGTATTCACTAAATACGTTTTTTACATTTTTTTTATAAAGGAAAACGTATTCCGTGAATACGTTTTACAATTAAAATGTGCAGAAAACGTATTCACGGAATACGTGCTTTTCATTTATTTCCACCCACTTTTTCCTTTTTTTTTTTTGTCCACTACTTTTTTTTCCGGTAAAAAATTCGATAATGATCACATAATTAAATGATATTACTGATGGCTAGATAATAAATTAAAATACATTAATTATTCTTTAAAATTTTGGCATGTTATTTATTTGTATTTATACTTATTATATAAGGTATCATATTTACCAAATTTAGTAGATTGAAAAGTCAACGTAATTAATGCATTGCTATTTCTATCCACAATTTTATTTAATTATTTTATTTATTTGTCTTGTATCCCATAAAAACAGTTTAAGAAAAAAAAAATCTCATAACATCTGACAAGTAAAAAAAAAAGACGTAAAATTTGTACTGTTATTAACATTGATTTTGTCAAAATAAATCTCATAAAATCAGTGAAGTCGAAATTTGTACGTAAAGTCTATCTATCCAAAAAAAAAAAGTCAAATTCAAAATTCCTTCTCTAATTCCTTCTTTTTCTTATATCTAATTTTTTTTAATTATATAATTGTATGAAAATCTGTTCTGATTTTGTTCAATCCTCTAATTGTATTTGTATTATATTCCATAAAATTGGTTTAACAAAAAAAATCTCATAACATCCGATAAGTAAAAAAAAAAAACAAAGTACGTAAAATCTTTACTAAAATAAAAATGTTTTATTTATTATCTAATTTATTATCTAATTGTATGGAAATCTGTTATGATTTTATGGAACGTACTAAAATTGTGCACCCGTGTTCAGGAGCTACTTAACGGACAAGCTCTGTGGAAATGACTCATTTAGTGTTTCTGTCCCGTGAATACGGTATGTATTTTTATTACACATATTAGAAAATTGTGCACCCCGTGCATTGCACGAGCTCTGTACTAATAAATAACCTTAAAATTGTGCACCCCGTGCATCACCTGTGTTCACATTTTGACCTATTACAGGTCACATATTATATATATCCCGTATATTTATTTTATTCATTTATATAATTATAAGAATGGATAAATGACCTTAAAATTATGCACCCCGGGCATTGCACGGGCTCTGTACTAATTGCCCTCCAAAACACTCACCCATTAAAAGAAAACAAAAAAAAGAAAGAAAAAGAAAGAAACAGGCCCTCTCACCCATTAATATTAATCGAAGTTGCATTATTATTGATACATTTTAGTTTTTTCAGTATGAAACCGTTACCGACGATTGTAATCGGTAACCGAACGGTTTCGTATTTGTAGATACCAAATAATAGGTTCGGTATCGATTTGGCCTTATCGGTTAATTAGGCGAACCGTTACCAACCCTAAAAGATCCTAAATTTCGAGCATATATTGAAGCTGAAAAAGCACGAAATTTGGAGAAAATAGCTCAACAACCAATCGAATCCATTATCAACTAATAGATTTGGCTAATTTTTCAGTGATCTTGGAGGAAGCGATGCCAACTTGGCAGAATACTAAATTCTCGTGCTTGTTTTTAGTTTATGGGTTTATGATGTAATTTTATTTTAGTATTATGTGATGTTGTATTTCATTTCAACACTAGTTATTAATTTTTTTTTTCTTCTAACCGTTATCTATCATATTTTAATCACTACAAAATAATTATTATATTCCAACGGAAAATCCTATGGTAATATATTCCAATGGAAATTCCAACAGATATTCCAATGGTATAGATTCCGTTGGAATAGTTCCAATGAAAATTCTAACGAAAATATTCCGTTGGAATGTGTTTTTTCATTGAAATTTTTGATGGAATTTGATGTTTCCAATGGCTATATTTCCAATGGCTTTTTACCGTTAGAATATGCAAAATCTGTTGGAATTTTTATTTCCACCCCCGTTGGAAAATCCACCGTTGGAATCGTCAAAATCCAACAGAAATTCCAATGGAAAACTCATTCCAACGGAAAATTTTCGTTGGAATCCATTAAAAAATTCCAACGAAAAAAATTAGTATTGAAATATCCGTTGGAATTGCCGTTGGAATAATTCTTTTGAAATAGATTTCCGTTGAAATTTTATCATTTTCTTGTAGTGAATGCTATTTCAATTTGTATTAGTAAAGCTATTGTTATTTAGTGTTAGCGTTTTCTTTACTTGTTAATAGCATAACAAATATATATTTTACGTTTTTATTGTGAAATATATAAGACTATATGATAAATATAATATTTATTTAATTACGTATTATACTATTTAATATTTATGAAATAAAGATTATTTAGTATTTTACATTATTATTGTAAATTTAACATAAAATTAATATTCATTATTTTAAATATCATATGATCAAAATTCAAAATTAACAATGATGAAACTAAA